ATTAAGTGGGTCGACGACTTACATTATTTTTTTAAATGTGATATTTATTTAAGTATAAATAATTAAATATATAAATTTGTTTAAGAAAATAGCTTACGTTATTCTTTAAAATATAATATTTAACTATAATTAGTATACATAATTTGTTTAAAAGAATATAATTGTCTAAGATTAAACCTGGCTGCTATTCATTAAGTCGATTCCATGAGTCTTTGTTAAGTAATTGTAAAACCATGACATATCGCTTAGTTTCATTTAAAATTCTTAACGTAATAATTAAGGTGAAAAGAAACTGAAGCATTGAGTTTATAGCTTACATAACTATCACCTTCTATAAGGTGTTGTATTAATTGAGCTAAACTAAGAGTGAGTCAAGCTCGACTAACTTAAACTCGAATCCGAACGGGAGTCTTCGTATGCTCGATGAGCTGCTCGATTATAATTGCAATCTGCTTAGATACCTCTTGCATGATCAGCCGATCAATGTTTTTCTTACCTAAATAGATTTTTTTTTTTTATCGAAAATTCGAGCTGATATGGTAAAATTCGAGTCCATTTCAAGCCGATCAATATTATATAGTTTTGCTGAGTCGAGGTCAAACGATAGTAAGACAAATCAGGCCTAACTCAAGAAGACCAATGATCTGCTCGACTCGAATTGTTTGCAACCTTACTCTAGTGGCATTGCTATAACAATTCTTTTTTTTTTTTTTTAGTAAAGTGTGTTTTTTTTCATTGGGAGATTGAAATGATGCGTGAAGAGAAAGGGACGTGAAACATAAAGCATGCAACGAAAATTAAAAAAAGGACATCAAATTAATTAGTTTTGTATATATAAAGAAAGGTAAATTTTTAATCAATTAATTTAATTAAGGAGTCTTGTAAATTGGAATTTGCACGGGCTATGGAGACGACCGCGATGCAGTAGGCGAAGGGTTCGCTACTTTGACTCCGAGGCGGTCGGCCCAATACAATATTGATTGTTGGGCACTTTACTCAATAAATATATACTTTAATCCATTTATATATGTGAAAAGTTATTTATGTCCAACACCAACCTAATTTCAGAATAAAAATAATATAAAAACAATATCACGAAACATATATTTTTGTCATGTCAGCATTCAAAGCGTGAGAATCTACCATTTAGGCTCAACACGTTTTGAATTAATATATAAGGAGGGATGTCAGTCATTGTCATCCTACTAGACATGGCCAAGGACTGTCCAGCCCGATCTAACCCGTTGACCACGAGTTCGGGACCGGACTGGATTTCAGACGGGCAACTTTAGGGTCATCAATTTCATGACCCGACTCGGCGATTCTGGGCCGGACTGGGTCGATGGCCCGCTTTTTCAATTTTTTTTTTTTAAAAAAATTTCTATTGTTTTTTTTTTAAAAAAAGGACAGACTAGGCTCGAACAAGACCCGTCCCGGTCGACTGGGCCATTGACCCGGCACGAGTATAGGTCCGGGTCAGTGTTTTGGAGCCCGGGGGCCGTGACCCGACCCAAATTTTAGCCATGTCTAGATGCATCATCTTGGTTACAAATTTTTCATTAGTAGTCCCTATCTGTTTTTTGCCCCTACGTTTCCTCTATTTATAACCAAGACCAACCATTCCACCTACCAAGCATTATTGGTTCCAATTTTGCGAACATTTTGTTACTTCAGTGGTCTCCTGCAATATAGCTGCAACAATTTTATTCACGTCTATTTGCAGCGACAACATCTAAGACATTCAGACATTATACATCTAAATCTCATATTTCCCCCAAAAAAATTGTATCATATGATTGATGTAGGGAAAACGTACGAGTGAGAAGGATAAAACGAGTAAAGGAGATACTCTCTCGTAAAACACGCAAAACTCACAATATCAATTCATCTATTATTCATAATCTACTGCCTAAAACAATATATAATGAGCCCTTTAAATAAGACTCTAAAACCCTATTTCTAACTTGTCCAACAAAACAAGATCTCCAATAATATTATTTATTTTTTAACTTATTCTCTAAGATAATAATAATAATAATAATAATAATAATAATAATAATAATAATAATAATAATAATAATAATAATAATAATAATCTACACCATTCTCCTCCGGTTCGGAAGGCTTCGCCCTCGAAGCCGATGCGCTCCCGTGGCCGGCGTGTGGTGTCAAACTCATGGTAGGAAACCCTCGTCGTTTCTCCCGGTCGAACACGAAGGATGAATATCGTCCAACAATCCCGATGGTAAACATAATCATGGGCAAGGATTGAATTACTGCAGATGCACATGTACACACCTGCATATGGAGGTGTGACACCTCCATATGCATAACCCACACAACGGAATTAACACCAAACATACCACACCGTTCACCGCACTCAAATCCATAAATACCGCCAAGCATCCCGTTGTTGAAAGACTTCAGGATAGACAATCGAAAAATTGCCCACCAGTTATTGAGCCTCGGCTTCGGCTCCGAAAAACCATCATTGACCAAGATACTCCAAAAATCGGGTTTGAACGACGGCATCCTCGTCAAAGACTCAATTTCTGCGACGTCCCTCGTGGGACCCATATTGCTGCAAAGATATATCTCCGTCACCGGAGGCTCCTCATCGAAAATAGGAGGACCGTCGTACAATGGCCCGTCAACTTGTTCACTGTCGAATTCCGGGATGTCAACGCAAAACAGGCCCTCCCATTGACCAAATTCGCGATCAAATCCCCAATCGGGTCGGGCACGATATTCGCCAACGAAGGCTGCCTCCTCGCACCAGCCCATGTCGCTGCGTTGATCGTCGTCGTCCACGAAGCCGTTCAGAGGTGGCGGGGACCGCTGCCGGGGCGCCCCGACATGGTTGCGTCCCCCACAACCGCCTTTGTCTCCCCCGTGAAAGCCACGGCCCACAGACACATCGCGGTTCGTTTGCAATTCCGAAACAACCACGTTGTAAAGCGTCAAATGCAAATTCACGATCCCCGTCGAAAGATCGGCAAACCAATCCGTGAAACGCACGTCCAACTCTTGAAATCGGTAGTCAATCTGTTGAAACCGATCGTTGAAGATTGCATCACGTTGTTTGTTTGCGGCATCTAGTCGTCCCGCTGACATCGCGAATCGTACTGACTGCTGATACCAACTGATGTAGCGAAAGCGTACGAGTGGGAAGGATAAAACGAGTAAACGAGATACTCTCTCGTAAAACACGCAAAACTCACAATATCAATTCATCTTTTATTCATAATCTACTGCCTAAAACAATATATAATGAGCCCTTTAAATAAGACTCTAAAACTCTATTCCTAACTTGTCCAGCAAGGCAATAACTCTAATAATATTATTTATTTTTTAACTTATTCTCTAAGATATCTATAATAATAATAATAATAATAATAATAATAATAATAATAATAATAATAATAATCTACACCAATGATTAAACAAAAAGGTTACGACTATGTTTAGTAACTAAATAAGTTAGTTTATAGCTTATTTGGTTAGCTTATACATTTTCTGTATTCAAATAAATTTTGTTTGGTAAGACGAACTATTTTAAAAAGCTCGAGTTTATCTCATAAACTTCTTTAAGTAGTTATTCAAATAAGGTCGTTTAAATTTTTATTTGTGCTAGTTTATCAGCTAATTTTACCAAACATTTTTATAATATAAACTAACTTTTCAGCTATAAGCTATAAACTATAAGCTCGAAAGATATAAACTAACTCATCAGCTATCAGCTAGCTTATCAACTATTTTTACGAAACATAGCCGACGCAAACTAACAAATTTACGAAAATATAAGGATAACTCTACCATCAATATACATAGTTGAAAAGCCTGTGGTCTCGTGTTCGAGTCCTGGAAATGCAGCAGTATTAAAACTCTTGAGGGAGAGCTTTGCCGCCCTTGTGGTCCTACCCGGCTCGATTCCGGATTAGTCGGTTCCCATGTGGATCCGAAAACTGGAAGGTCCTGTACC